GGGTTAATATTGTAGCCGTCTCTGTCTCTCCCAGTCGTGTGCTCCGCGGCTCGGCGCAAGTTCGTGGGTGGGCAGTGTGTCTCCCCGTCGTGTGTAGGCTATAGCTCCGCGCCCCTTCCTTAGTATAGGATATACCTTCTCGGGCGTCGTCCTGCTTGTGCGAAGCTCTCCCTCCGACGGTGTGTGTGCGCTCTGGCAGGAGCGGATTCAGGATTTTTGAAAAGGGGGTGTCCAAAAAGAAATAAAGGGCACTTTTTCTTGCTTACTTTTTCTAGTGTTTTAAAATGCTGCCGAAGGCCACTTAGGGGGGGTTTGGGGGATCTCTCCCAAGATTTTTTTTATAAATTGGTGCATTCTGAGAGCATCTGAGCAGTAATTTTGATGTCTAGAATGCAAAAATTTATCAGATTCGGTCCCCTGGACGCCTGCAGACCCCTCTTTGCCCCTTTCTAGGTTTTTATAACGAATTTACATATATATTAAAGATTTACTTCTAGTTTTTCTGACGCTAAACAAGAGTGTGTGTGTGTGTGTGTGTGTGTGTGTCGCGCGTGCGTGCGTGCGTGCGTGCGTGTGTGTGTATGCTTTTTCCCCTTTTTTGTGGTAAAAAGGGAGGGTCCGGACCCCCTCGACCCCCCTCTGGATCCGCCCCTGTGTATTGACTACCCCACCTTGAAAGGGATAGAGAACATGGGAAGAGTTGTGAGGGGAAACCAGGGAAGAAGTGTGAGTTAAAGAACCAGGGAAAACAGACCAACAGAGGTACAAGAATAAGATATGGAGAGGGGGCCAGGGAGAAGAGGTAGAGGAAGAGATAGGGTGGTGAGATAGAGGAGGAGACAGGGGAAGAGGTGAAGGGGAAGAAGGAGGAAGCGGCCGAGGATACAAGCAGGTTAAGTGGAGGCGTCAGGAAGGAGATGGATGAAGAGCCAGAGAGGAGGGGTGGCGGGGGAGACAGGCAGGGAGCCAAGGAGGAAAGATATAGGAGAAGCCAGAAAAAAATGCATAAAGGCTACAGCTGAAGCTCTAGGATACAGGAGCCTTGGTAAAGACAACAAATATAAGAATAGACTCGACCAACCACCCTACAACAACAGCCCCCTTCCCTACCCCCAACACAGAGCACAGAGAACAACACAGAGAGCATGCTCTGCCTAAAGCGGGGGACACACCATGCGAATTTATTCGCACGTCCGCAGCGATTGTAAAATCGCAGCGAAATTCGCATGATGTGTCCGCTCAAGCGCGGGCAAATTTCGCTGCGAATTTCATCCGCACCGAAATTCGCAGCGATCAAACATGTTTGATATTTTCACTGCAGACGTGCGGACCTGCGAATATAGACTGGTACCCGTCCCTTCTCACAAGCTCGATATAGGCCTATATCGAGCTTGTGAGAAGGGACAGGTACCAGTATAGTGCAAATAATGGCCGATTGTTATAATGCAGCAAATCATTGATCAGTATGCTAATCACGTGACCACATGACTGTTGGAGCCATGGTGGAGCCGTGTGGGACCAGTAGATCGCGTGTAGTGTGTACGCTGCGGACGTGCGAATAAGTCCGCATGGTGTGTCCGCTCAATTATCGCATGCGGGTGCAAATATTTTCGCCGCGATTTTCGCTGCGGATATGATCGCCGCGGACGTGCGAATAAATTTGCATGGTGTATCCCAGGCTTAACACTCACTGAAGCTATCGCGCAGGTCGGGATACAGCTTGTCAGTAAAGAGGGGCTCTGGAAGCTCCCTGAGGTAAAGCTTCAACACACTAGCTACGGCGTGGATGTCCGACTCACAGACGATGCGTGCAGCTTCCAGCTGACCTGCAGGGTAAACACACTCGTGTAATTACTATGACGAATGACCAGCAATAACTGCCAGAAAGTGTATGACCAGATATATATTCCATATTCACACACGTACGCTCGCACACACGCACATACGCACACACACGCTCGCACACACAACCACACGTATAAAAATAAATATATAAATAAATGTGTAAGCGCGCGAGCGTGCGTGCTATGCGTGAGTGCGTGCGTGCGTGCGTGCGTGCGTGCGTGCTATGCGTGAGTGCGTGCGTGCGTGCGTGCGTGCGTGCGTGCGTGCATGCGCGGGCAAGTGTATATATATATTAACAAATAAACTGTTGCAAGCGTATTTCTCGCACTTTATATGTCATCATCATGTCTATATAGTTTATATATTGGAGTAGACTAGCTAATAGCTACACAATCAGGCACTGTCTGAGAGTAACCTCAATAAAACGTTTGGGATTTTAGGGACGGTCTCACAGCAATCAGATGATGCTAGGCACAAACAACCTTTATAGGGCATAAACGAGATGGTGCAAGGTCAATGACATCAAGAACCAATTACGGTTTGGGCAGGCAAGCTTGGACAACTTGGCAAAATAACTCGACAGTACCTGTGATTGTTTCGCAAACGTTGACCAGAAAGGCCAAAAGGGGCTACATGTTTCTAAATACAAACGCGTTTGTTAGCAGTAGCTGCACAACAACGTTTTGTATATAGCCTCATGATACGTACTAGTCTCAAATGCGCTCTTCAACTTCTGTACTTCTGACAAGGCTCCAGAAACTCTGTATATTCCCATCTCTCTGATGCCTGTAAGGTGTTAACAATGCATAGAATTACTGCTACCATTATTCATAACAGTTGGTATCTTTACACAACATGTCCGGTGAAAGAGAAGCGACTTAAGGAGTCACGCAAGATATGTACTACAGTGAAACCATAATGGCGATCCTGTTATGATTTATAGAAACATCTGTGGGAGAAAGTTCTAGTTCCGTAGAATTTATAGTTTAGCGCACCTAGTAGGTGTTATTGGTTACTTCTTACATATAAAGTTACATAATTCTGATTTCTCACCTCGTCTTTCCACCTCTGTTACACACGCTGTCACAATGAATGGCACCTTGCTGCGTTCCTTCCTGCGTTTAAACAATTAATGTCAGATTAGAATCATCACAGTCAGTGAAACAATAGACGACTACAGCATTTCCCTGATAATCTACTACAAGTGAGTTCATGATAGAATGCGATTTTGTAGACAAAATAAATATCAGGTATATATATATATCACACATATATCCACTAGGAAACCAAAGGTACATGCAAAAATGTTAACCCGACAAGCACAAGAGCTCGTGAGAGCTGGACCATCAACGAAATTCACAGATATGTGTGTGTGCGTGCGTGCGTGCGTGCGTGCGTGCGTGCGTGCGTGCGTGGGTGCGTGCGTGTGTATGCTCGAGTCAAATCCCACGCATACGCAGTGGAAAAATCCGCGTGCATGTTTATCCCCAAACTGCATGCAGTACCCCCTTCGTACAACTCAGGATACCACTGCCACAAGGCTGGTACTATTTTTCAAGTGGGCGAAGCTCCGGGGAAATCCAGCAAATGGCAATCCAACGGCCGCGAAGTTGCCGCTGAACATAACATTAGAAATTTCTATGATTTGCATGTTTGTTGGTGAACAAATTGAGATGTTTTAAGCTGAATACGCAAAAATTTATCAAAGACAATATTCGAGAATTAGGTATATTGGCAAGCATCCAAAAAATTCATGATAAACAATGAATAAACACGAACTTAGTTTAGTAAACAGCATAATGATTTGAAAGTAGTAAATGGGCGCACAATACGCGCACTATTTCGTATCACTATTTTATCAAATTTCTCATAAAATAATGGTCAAATTTTTATTCTCTTTGCAACTTTTAATAGTACAAATCTTATTACATAGGATACGAGTAACCTGGCCGCTGTAAATCTTGTGGTAAAAAAGCGTTACAAATTGTAACGGAAAATCTACTTGTGGCAGTGGTGAATTGAGCCAGAGCGAGAGCGCCATCTGTCGTGGAGTTTGGTTTATCCCCCTGGCTTGTGCCTAGAGATGCCTTGGGTAGGATTCGCTTTGCGGGAGAGATTTTGCACCAGAGGGCGCCTTACTTGCAGAGTGTTCGGATGTTGACGCCGAACACGCCGACATCCCAGCGCGACGGCAGACGCCGTAGCGTGTTCTTCGCTGAGATGAATTTGAACGAGAGTGTGACGAGCATGCTCTCTATGATGATTGTCTGACGCTGCGACTCCCTGTCCTTGAGCCACGACTCGCTCAGCTGTTGACAAAACAAGTGAACATCAGCGCGTTAGCAATGCTATAGGCGTGTATATAGACCCGGCATATAAGGAAAAGTTGGTGATAAAACCGTGGAATAATCATTCTGACGATTTAAACAAACGTTTAAACAAATTTTGTTTCTGAACAACGGGCTCCCTGCGGGTTACTCCTGGTAGACGTTGACAGATTTTCGGCACTGCAGTACCCTCACCTCTAGCGTGCCCTTGCCTAGCAGAACCTCTGGTGAGCTGGGGTGCACTTCGTAGACGAGTATGCGGAGTGTCTGCGATCCCTCCATCTCCAGTACAAACTCCTGAGGAAGTAAGTGGGCAAGTAGTAAAATAGTAAAATGGTAATATAAATGAAATTATTTTCACTGCTATTAGCCGTTGCACAGTTTGAAATGTTGACAATACTTAGCCTGCCGTTGCTTTCGAACCCTGCATATTATATGACATCCAAGATTTCTCAGTAATCCATAGAATGATAAATTTAAAAACCAAAATCCCAGAAATCTGCAGAAGATTCTTACGAATGAATAAAAAATTGGTGATTATAGCAAGGCACCATGACAAGTACCATGTTTCGCAATAGTTATTCATGCATATATGCCCTTAGTTTACTTCAACGAAGGTTATTGTCGGCATATCTGCTAGTACAGTGAGATGAATTTAGCTGCTACAGTTGCTCACACACACCTGATCCCAGTGTGGTTCATTAGTGTTCAGGCAGATATTAGTTCGTGCTTTGAGGAAGAAATGACCGTAAGAGTCCATCTCTAGACAACAGAACGTATCTGCAAAAAATATAGATATGACATTAGCAGCAGAAAACACAAGCACTTAAATTTAGGCAACGACATTACATTAGTCCACACCCGCTTTGAATTCTACGGCATTACGTTGGTACAATACACACGAACTGCCTACACTGTACCGAGTGGTTCTAATTTCACAGCCGGGCCCCATTTTCAGAAACAAATTCACTCTTAACATTAAATTTCTCTTGTAGACTGTTGAAAGAATATTGTTTTTAAAGTAAGAAAAAATTGGTAGGATTTCTTGCATTTGTTTCTGGCAACGGGCCCCCAAGTTATGGCCTGGCAGGGTTAAGGTAGATTTGAGGTGTGCACGTACCACAACGTTGCTGGAGGCCCTGTATGGAATGTATGGTAACACAGAGGTCTCCTGTCATGGTTTCCTCTTTCTCTTGCTCTGTTGCATTGATGAGCACCGCACCAAACTGAGACACATTCTTCGTCTGCAAACACAAAAGGTCAGTCGCTCAACGTTAGCACACGACAGCCAATGACAGGCAACCAGTAAGTTACTCAACTATCGTAGTCCACATTTTGATGGTGTACATAGTGAAAATCTTATCTAGGGGCCTACATTTCCTCCGAACTGACCATGATCCCAACTTAAAATATCTGGCCACACCAACTTAATTACAAATTAGATATTCCCACACTAACCTCGTCCATACCCCGCACCTCTCAGATTACCTCTTCATCCACTACGATCCCCTACACACACCACTCTAATCACTTTCCTTCTATCCCTAACCATCCACACTACGTGCCACAGACACACTCACACGCGCGTGCGCACGCACGCACGCACGCACGCACGCACGCGCACGCGCAAACAAACGCACACGCACACGCATACGCACACGCACACGCACACGCACACGCACACGCTCACGCACAAACACACACACACACACACACACACACAACGCACACACACACGCACACACACACACACACACACACACCACACTAACCTTGATTGAGCCGAGTGTCTCCTGCAGGTCGTATATGTTGACGGGCGTGGCGGCGCCACCGCTGCGCGCCTCCTTTATCTGCTGCTTGCTGACGACGTCGCGCCAGTGCAGACGCTCGTAGTCGGACGACACGAGGAACGTGTAGGTCTTGCCGTGACGGTGGCAGACGCGCAGCACGAGGTTGGGCAGCGCCAGCACGAGTGCAGTCTCCTGCTCCGCTAGCTTCTTACGCAGCTTCAGTACTGTGCGGCTCACGCGACCGCCCCGCGACCCCGACTTCTGCACAGAGAGGAGAAGCACCGAGGATTTGTGAGAGATAGATGTGATACGTACGGGGGGATCGAGCGCGCATGCATGTTGTTGTTGCGAGGTCATTCGGGTACGAACAGTTTGAACGCGATTTTCGTGCCAAATTGACGACTTTTCGGACACTTCCTTACCGGACAACGTGTTGATGAATGCACATAACACAATGTTGATTAGCTACAACTACTAGTACTAGAGCTACTTGTTGGTTAGTGCAGGCGGATTGGACAATTCGTGTCGAAGCTACCTTATTATTGTTCTACGAACGCTGCATAACAGCCTGGTATAAGGGTGGATTGACAGGAATTTTTATATATATATAATATATATATATATATCGTTATATGTATATATTAATGTTATACAGCCAATGTCTATTTCTAAATCATGACAGAAAATGAGATTGTGTGGAGTGAGAAGGAAAGAGAGAGCGCACGAGTTTGAGAAAGATAAGAGAGAGAGAGGTAGATCAAACGAGAGGGATTGAGAAAAAGAAGAAAGAGAGAGAGAGAGAGAGAGAGAGAGAGAGAGAGAGAGAGAGAGAGAGAGAGAGAGAGAGGGGAGAGAAAGAGATGTGGATTGAGAGAGCCAAAAAAATTATGATGGCTTAAAAGAGGAAGAGAGAGAAACAGGAGAAAGGAAGAGAGAGAGAGACAAAGAGGGAGAGAGAGACGTCTGTGACAGAGACACACGGCCACTGACCTGTTGTTTGCAGAGCTTCTCCTCACGACGTAGCTGCTCCCTGAGCTGTGACACCCTCCCCCTCAGCACCTCCAGCTCGGCCCGCTGGCTCTCCGCCTGCTCTCTACCATCTGCGAACGCACCCGACATCTCATGAAACACCCATCGATATATACCTATCTATATCACATGCCATCTTGTAAAACACCCATCGATATATACCTATATATATCACATGCCATCTTGTAAAACACCCATCGATATATACCTATATTATATCACACGACGATCACGTACGATCATCCACTTTTATTTCTCACCCTTGCCTCATGTTCTCCTTACCCTAACTCCAAATTATGTCTGCTGCACCCATAGAAATATGTAAAGACACCTACCTAGACAAATATGTCTACCTATATTATTTCTATAGCCGAACTAATACTTCAAATCTATATACCCACCTTATCACTGACCCGAGTTTATGCCCATCCGACTTCTATGCTTACTGTGCTTGCTATTAACCTTTGATGATCACTACTGCTTTATCTACTACCCTTGAGGAGTTACCCACAGGTTATAACTTTGGCTTGTATGTCCTTACGTTTCAGCCCTAACAGACTGTGGTCGTGGGCACACGCGTTTGGTAAATTTCGATCTATATGAATCCAGGACGCAATTATCGCTATCATGCACACATCTTAGACGAACGTCACTGCAAATGCTATATAGACACAGCGCTGCGCGTCGCCCGTGAAATCACAAGCGACGCCAGTCTAACTAACATGTATCCTACGAGCGGCCATCTTTCTCACCTTTCATCTCGATGTCTTCGACGATGAGTAGCTCAGAGAGTGGGATGTACCATTTACACTCGTACGCGAACGTGTGCCTGCAAATGAACGGTGCAGTCAACAAATGTCATGTCGCTAGCAACGGACTTGGATGAGAAACTTCCGGAAACTTGGAGCAGAATCAAACATTTCCTTTTCTAGCACTTGAAGATAGACACAAAGAAAGACGGTGGACAAAAAATGCTGCATACGGACAGAATTAATTCTATTAGATTTCCACCAACCAATTTACGGGTACCAGATGTGTACCGAGCTTTATAGTTTCCACGGAACATTATCGGAAAACTCACCTGCCGGTTAGTTTCTGTTTTGCACACACGAGGGCGTTCTCAAACAGGAACACGTGCCTCAGCTTTCGATGATTCTCCGAAAGCTCGATGATGAAGCTATCCTTCACCAGGTGGAGCCGCGGTCGGCCCGGGCTGCTCGGCTGAAAGCAAGCGAATGCACTCAATCAGCGAGATCCAGCTACGTTGGTGCAACTCGACTATTGCTCTGCTCCCACCGTCACGCAATTACCATTGCAGCTCACGCAACAACACGACCAATATGATCCTACAGTTCTCTTGTTACGGAAGCACAGTCATGCCAAGCCGAGCCACGCACTGGTTGGCCGAGCCATTTTTTTTACAATGCCCGCGAACAATTAACGTAGTTAGACAGCACAGCGTAACTCTGCATAGAAGGTTTATGATATCTAACACTTTACCCACTCATCATACCAGGAGTGAATAAGAACAAATTTGTTTTTATTCATTCCTGGTCATACAGAGTCTAAGATTCCACAATGCAAGCCGACCAGTCACTGACCTTCCAACTATTCAAAGCTAAACAAAAGGAAAAAAACCTCTGCGCGTTTTTCCTCCAGAAAATATGCCTCAATTTTTTTTACAAATTTGGTGAAAAACTTAATTTTCAAATAAAACTCCAACATTTAATTAAAGCTCGTCCAAACGCGTTCGATAAGTGTTCATTTACCACTTTTCCATTCCTCTGCGTGGTTTCGTTGAAGTCCTTCAGAAAGCACTGCGTCATCTTGAGTGCAACATTGAGCGTCTGCTTGTCGGGATGGTCGTCTGTTGTGTACTTCAACAGATCCTGCCAACAAAGCAACAAGCTAACGTCAAACACAGCGTCTGCAATCGTCAGCGTCTGCCATCGTCATCGTCTGTCATCGTCAGTGCCTGTCACCGTCAGCGTCTGTCATCGTCATCGTCTGTCACCGTCAGCGTCTGCTATCATCATCGTCTGTCATCGTCAGCGTCTGTCATCGTCAGCGTCTACCATTGTCAGCGTCTGTCACCGTCAGCGTCTGCCATCGTCAGCGTCTGTCATCGTCATCGTCTATCATCGTCATCGTCTGTCGTCGTCATCGTCTGCTATCGTCAGCGTCTGCTATCGTCAGCGTCTACCATTGTCAGCGTCTGCCATCGTCAGCGTCTGTCATCGTCAGCGTCTGTCATCGTCATCGTCGTCATCGTCATCGTCTGTTATCGTCAGCGCCTGCCATCGTTATCGTCTGTCATCGTCTGTCATCGAATGTTCAAAATTATTGACAGGTAAACTGACAGATTGAGTGATATTAAAATTTAGATGTGTACATTATAAGCGTAACATCAAGAACGTATAAAGAAGACACTTCTTTATACGCTCTTGGTAACATATAACTGCAATTTACTGTTTTCGTTAGTACACATATGGCGTCAACATATGTAGCAGCAAAATAGTGTTTACATTACAAGCGATAACATATATAACGACAATATACTGTTTGCATTACATGCGGAAACATATCTAACAGAAATTTACTGTTTTCATTAGAAACGATAACATATATAATGGCAAACTATTATTTGCATCACAAGCTTTAACATATATAACGCGTCTGAAGTTGCCGGGCAACATGTTTGTAACATCTCGCAATAAACCGTTCGCAATTTAGCCGCCAGTAGTACTTTATCGAAATTCCACCAACCTCTATTAAGATTTGCGCAACCGTTAATGCATCCAGGATTAGCGACAAATGCAAAAAACCTCTGAATAAAATTTCCATCGCTCTTCTTGCCGTGTTCCTGTGGTAGGTACACGTACATTTTAATTAAAATGTCTCATCAGGATTCGCTTGTAAATATTACAATAATTTGTGACTGTTTGTCACCATCAACTGGAAGACACCTGGTGGAGATATAGGCATATAGTGGCGACATCTGCTGGAGAGTAACACAACCCCCACCCCGACGACGACGACGACGACGCTGGCTGATGGGTCGTCAGCGAAAGTTCAACGTATCCCAACTTTTTTTCAGATTCTATTGTTTTATGGTGGGACGCCACTCATTATCATAATTGTTGTAATTATCGCTATTGTTATCATTATCGTTATTTATATCGTTGTCGTTACTGTTATTATTATTATTACTGTTATCGCAAGCAAAATGGCCGCACGTTAAATTGCGTGTTTTAAGCCTGGGACACACCATGCGAATTTATTCGCACGTCCGCGGCGATAATATCCGCAGCGAAATTCGCGGCGAAAATATTCGCACCCGCATGCGATCATTGAGCGGACACACCATGCGGACTTATTCGCACGTCCGCATCGGACACACTACACGCGATCTACTGGCGCCACACGGCTCCGCCATGGCTCCAACAGTCATGTGGTCACGTGATTAGCATACTGATCAATGATTCGCTGCATTATAACAATCGGCCGGCTTGCACGGACACACCATGCGAATTTGTGCGCAGCGGTAAAAATCCGCAGCGAAAATATCAAACATGTTTGATCGCTGCGAATTTCGGTGCGGATGAAATTCGCAGCGAAATTCGCCCGCGCTTGAGCGGACACACCATGCGAATTTCGCTGCGAACGAGCGAATAAATTCGCATGGTGTGTCCCCCACTTTAGTAAGGTTCTCCCGCTTGGCGATGAAAGGGGGAGGAGTGGGCGCTAGTGTTCTAGCGTCGCCATCTGACGGCAACTTAGGCGATCAATCAGGCGTCAGCGTCGTCTCTATACCTGCCCGAACGCGCCGCGATTGAAAGCGAAATAACACGAAGAATATCGAAGGGAATAATTGTATATATAAGTGAAGCAACACACCCCCTTTTTCATCTCGATTTTTAGCACCTCGGGAGATTTCAGATGCTTTTCGGTGGAGGGGAGAGGAAGATGGGGAGGGGAGGAGAGTTGGTTTCGAGCGGGTATATGCGACGTTTATTCCCCGAAGCCCGCGGACGACCGGCGTGAGAGCGACTATGTGAGTGCAAGGCGGAGACAGGCACGGATGCGTGCGCGCGGGCAGGGCGCCGAAGCGAGAGCGCTGCATTGATTACGAGGCGGATCGAGCCGCCTTTAATAACATAAACGCTCTCTCTCTCTCTCTCTCTCTCTCTCTCTCTCTCTCTCTCTCTCTCACGCTTCTCTACTCTCTCTCTCTCACTCTCTCTCGCTCTCTGGGCTCAGCGTCGGAAGACCTTGTTGCCGCGCGACGATTGGCGCCGCAAGATGAAAAACACTTCGCTGGGTAACGCTCTCAAAGTGGCTTCACTCACCTCGATGACTCCCTCCCTTCTCCTTCATTAGCCCTGTACAGCTCCTCTTCTACCTCCTCTTTCAATTCGTTCTTCCGTAACACTTCTAGTTCAAAGTCACCCCCCTCTTGTTAGCTTTGTCTTCTAGCTCTCTCCAGATCTCTCCTCTCGCGTCCGCCATTCCTTCTGCAACTTCGTTCCTTAGTTTTCTCTAGCTCCACCTTCCTCCACTATCCCTCGTCCACATCGTTCGCCCACCAAACTCATCCCTCTCCCGCTGTCTCATATTCTCACCGGCTCGAGCTATATTCATTTGAGTCTGTGATAGTCCTTCTGGATCCCTTCATTCCTCTGTCACTCGTTATTCGTTATCTCTGTCTAATCTTTTCCTCTCCTTCTCTCATTCTCTTTTCTCTCTCTCTCCTCTCGCTTCTTCTCTTCTCTCTCTCTCACCTTTTCCTCCTCTCTCTGTCTGCTCTCTCTCTCTCGTCTCTCGCTTTTTCTCCTCTCTCTCTCTCTCTCTCTCTCTCTCTCTTCTCTCTTCTCTGCTCTCTCTCTCTCGCTCTCTTCTCTCTCTTCATCCTCTCTCTCTCTCTCCCTTTACTCTACCTTCGCCTTTTCCCTCTCCATTTCTTTATCCCCTACTCTATTTCCACTGTTTCTCTTAACCGTCTTTAAATCTTCTAACTTTATACCCCACTGGACCACTCCTTCTCCTCGTTCGTCTTACTCCGTATCCTCCGATTCTTTCACCCTCCACCACACACATTCCCCTGCTCATCTCCCCTAATTTGGCGTGTTCCCCTCTTCTCGCAGGAACAAAAGAATTAATGCCCGCGGCGAGGCGGGACTTTCATTATAGCAGTTAGCGCTTAGAGCATGCCGTCCGACAAAGGAAGACGCGGGCGCGTGGACGGCTTAAGCCGGGAACGCTCGCGACGACAGCAAGCTCTCTGTTCTCCCTCTCTCTCGCCGCTCATTCTCTCCTCTCCCTCACGCCCCCTCTCTCTCTCTCTCTCTCTATCTCGCTCTTTCTCCATCTCCCCTCTTCTCTCCTATGCCTCTCTCTCCTCTTCCCCTCTTCCTCTCTCTCTCTCGCCTCTCTCGCTTCCTGCTCTCTCTCTCTCTCTCTCTGCTCTCTCTCTCTCTCTCTCTCTACCGTCCCTCCTCTCTCTCTCTCCCTCCCTCTCTCCCTCTTCTCGTCCCATCCCTCTCTCTCTCTCGTCTCTCTCTCTCTCTCTCTCTCTCTACTCCTCTCCCCTCTCGCTTTCTCTCCCTTCGCTTGCCTCTTCTTCCCCCCCTTCTCTCTCTCTCTCTCCCCCCTCCTCTCCTTCCATGGTCTCGCTCTCGCCTCCGCTCTTCCTCCCTCTACTCTCTCTCTCTCTCTCTCTTTGCTCTCTTTTCTCTTCTCTCTCCCTCTCTCTCGTCTCGCTCGCTCTCCTCCCTCTCTCTCTTTCCCTCTCGCTTTATCTCCCTCTCGCCGCTCTCTCGCCTCCCTAATCTCCACCCCTCTGCGCCTCTCTCGGCCTCCTATCTCCCCCTCTCTCTCTGCTCTTTCATTCTCTCTTGCTCTCTCTCTCTCTCTCTCTCTCTCTCTCTCTCTCCCCCCCTCTCTCTCTCTCTCTCGCTTTCTCTCCCCCTTTCTCTCTCTCTCCCCCCCTCTCTCTCTCTCTCTCGCTTTCTCTCCGCCGCGCCTGGCAGACGACGCGAAGCCGCTTTGTGTGAGGCACGAGCACCGGCGCGCTCCCTGGCGGACACAGCGGGAGGCCGCACGAGAGGGGCAGGACCGCCCGTCGGCAGGGGGCGTGCGCGGCGTCGCGTGGACGAACGCGTGACACGGAGATGGATAGACCCGCTCCCGCTTGCATTTAGACACCAGGCGTCCGCTCGCGCGTACACGCGCACACGCATGGGCGGACGTCGCTGCTCAGATACACAGCGTTCGATTTTACATATAAATGCGGCTTTGTTCTGAATGCCACCGCTGCGAACATCAAACAAAAATGAACGCAAGAGTGCAGCTTTAAACTATACTGCATTCGTTTATAGTTGGATAAACATACGAACGCACGAAAACATCGTTTACAAATCCTCGACGATTTTACGCGCGATGTTGCCAACATATATTATGCAGATCATCATCAACAACCCTTGAGAGCTCATCACAGCTTTATTATTTCGCTAATCACGGCCACCGTAATCACCCTGCAGGCGTTGTGCATGAGTCAACTACGAGCTATCATTATCGTACATCGTCATCGCCAACGTCGTGCCTGCGTCAACTACAAACTATCGTCATCGTCATTATTGTCCATCACCACCGCCAGCGTATATGCCTGCGTCAAGTACGAGATATCGTCATCACCAACGTCGTGCCTGGGTCAACTACAAACTATCGTCATCGTCATCGCCAACGTCGTGCCTGCGTCGACTACAGACTATCGTCATCGTCATCGCCAACGTCGTGCCTGCGTCGACTACAGACTATCGTCATCGTCATCGCCAACGTCGTTCCTGCATCAA